TCCCCGCTCGGCACCGACGGCCCCGCGGGGCGCCCAGGCCGCCCCGAGCCCCCCCCGGGGGTCCCCGAGTCACCCCCGGCCTCCCCGAGCCCCCCCCGGGGGTCTCCGATTCCTCCCGGGGGTCCCCGAGCCCCCCCCGGTCCGTGCGGGTCCCGCGGGGACGCTTCGTGTGCGCGGGGACGGGGACAAGGGGACAACGGGGGACAACGGGGGACAACGGGGGACAACGGGGGACAACAAGGGGACAGGGGGACAGCGGACTGGGAGAGGGGACTGGGACTGGGAGAGGGGCCCCGTGCTGGGGAGCAGGAGCTGGCCCTGGGGACTGGGGCTGGGGACAGGGTGCTGACACTGGGACTGGGAGGTGGCACTGGGAGATGGTCCTGAGTGCTGGGAGCTGGCACTGGGAGCTGGGAGCTGGCACTGGGAGCTGGGAGTTGGTACTGGGGACTGGGGAGAGGGACTGGGGAGCAGCAGCTGGCACCGAGTGCTGGGGCTGGGGACAGGGTGCTGACACTGGACTGGAACTGGGGACACAGGACTGGCACTGGGAGCTGGAGCTGAGTGCTGGGAGCTGGGACAGGAGACTGGGACTGGCACTGGGACAAGGTGCTGGGACTGGGGACACAGGACTGGGAGCTGGGACTGGGGACTGGGAGCTGGAGCTGAGCACTGGGAGCTGGGACTGGGTGCTGGGACGGGCACTGGGACCGGCACTGGGAAGCTGGGACTGGGGACTGGGACTGGGAGCTGGGGACTGGCACTGGGACTGGCACTGGGAGCTGGGACTGGGAGCTGGCAGCAGCACCCGGCCCAGCACCAGCACTGGAACCTGGCCCTGGGTACTGGAACCAGAAACTGGGGACTGAGACTGGGAACTGGGATTGGGACTGGGAGGACACTGGTGAGTGGGAAGTGGGGACTGGGACTGGGAACAGAGACTGGGACTGGGGACTGGGAGCTCAGACTGGAACTGGGGACTGGGACTGGGAGCTCGGACTGGGAACGGAGACAGGGCACTGGGGACTGGGAGCTCGGACTGGAACTGGGGACAGGGACTGGAACTGGTGTCACCGACTTTGCTCTCAGACTGGGGACTGAAACTGGAACTGAGACTGAGACTGGGAACTGGGACTGGAAACTCAGCCTGGGGACTGAAACTGGGAACTGAGACTGAGACTGGGACTGGGACTGGGGCTGGAACTGGAACTGGGGACTGGGACTGGACTGGGAGCTGGGACTGGGGCTGGGAACTGGGACCGGGAGCTGGGAACTGGGACTGGGAGCTGGCAGCGGGGCCCGTGACCCGTCACTGCGTGCTGGGACCTGGCACCGGTGCCTGGGGACCTGGGGACTGTCACCAGGCGCTGGCACCGCTCAGCGGTGGCACTGGGGGCTGGCACTGGGGGCACGGCGCAGGTGGCACGGTGACCCCGCGGTCCCCAGGGCACGTGGCGGGGTGACAGCGGGGTGACAGCAGGGTGACAAACAGGGTGACAACGGGGTGACAAACAGGCTGGCAGCAGGGTGACGGTGAGGTGACATCAGGGTGACGGCAAGGCCACAGCGGGGTGACAGCAGGGTGACAGCAGGGCCGGGCTGGGGACAGGCCAGCGCGGCCGGGGGTCCCCGCAGGGACAGCGGGAGGGGACGCGGGCCCTTGGCCGCGCCTGGCTCGGCTCCGCCCCCTCCCTGCCTCAGTTTCCCCCGGGATTTCTCCACCTGCTCCCGGCGCGGGACCCCCGGGGGGGCGAGGGGCCGGGGGCGAAGGGCGAGCGGAAGGGAGGGAGGTGTGAGGCGCTGCCGCCCCCTCCCCGAATTTCCTTCCCAGGCATTAAATGCGCTCAGGCGGCTTTGAAATTTTATTACCCATAAAATTGACGACACGCTGGGGTTTTCCTCCCCGGGCCTCGGGCCCCCCCTCCCCGCCCCTTTGGCAGCTCGGGGGCCCCCCAAAATAAAGGGCAGGGCTCCTCCTCCCCCCGGGGGTCCCGCGGGCCCGGACCCCCGGCCGGATGCGCCCCGGGCCGGGGAGGGGGGGCTCCTCTCCGTTATTATTTTGATTTTATTCTCCCCTCCCCGCTCGCCCCCCCCGGGCCATTGCGGGGTTTTTATGGTTCCTGAACAGAAGGAGGGGAAGGCGCTTTATGGGCGCAGCAGAGCCATAAAGATCTCGGGTTCCCCCCGCCCCCCCCCGGGAGCAGCCGCGAGGGTTAATTGGCTCCCAAGCCCCCCGAGGGGCTACCCGTGACCCCCGCGACCCGCGGGGGGTGGGGAGCTTAATGAGGCCCTGGGGGGGGCCCGGGGGGGCTGGGGGCTGGAGGGGGGCACAAGGACGGGGGGACAGCGCCGAGCACCTCGGGGCGGGGGGCTCGGTGAGGGGGGGGCCGCGCTCGGGGGGCCCCAAGGCGGAACAAAGAGCTGGGGGGGCTCCGGGGCCGCCCCCCGGCCGGCTCAGGCCCAGCTGGGCCCGGTGTCCCGGTAACCTTTATCCCCCGTTGCCACGGCGACGGGACGAGCATCCCGGCACCGCGGCCGGCGGGACCCCCCCTCGCCGCGCCCCGCGCCCCCCGGCCCGGGCAGCGACAGCGGCGACCCCGGGGAGGGGCTCCGGGGGGTCTGCGGCGGCCCCGCTGGCACCGGGAGCCCCAAAACCCCAGCTGAGCCCCCAAAACCCGACCCGGAGCCCCAAAACCCCACCTGAAACCCCCCAAATCCGACCTGGAGTCCCTAGTCCCCACCTGGAGCCCCAAAATCCGACCCGGAGCCCCAAAACCCCACCTGAGCCTCCAATCCCCACCTGAACTCCCCCAAATCCACACCTGAACTCCCAAACCCGACCCGGAGCCCCAAATCCCCACTTGAACCCCCAAATCCCCACCTGAACTCCCCCAAATCCCAACCTGGACCCCCAAATCCCCACCCGGACTCCCAAATCCCCACCTGAACCCCCAAAATCCGACCTGGATCCCCCAAATTCCCCCCGCACCCCCGGGTGTCACCATCCCCCCCCGGGTGACAAAGCCCCCCCGAGCTGTTTGGGGGGGGGTCACTCGTGGCAGTGAGCGCCGGGGGGGTGCCAGGGGGGTCCCCGCGGCCCCCAGCCCCATTTGCGAGCGCGGGGGAGGCGGCAGCGCCGGTGTCGTGACCCCCGCGGCAAATGGCCCCGCGCTGCAGCTGGGCGCTATTAAACCTGACCGGGGCGGGCGGGGGGCGGATCCCCCCCTCAATTCGACACAGATGTGGGGCCGGGCCGGGGGGACCCCCGCAGCCGGCTCGGGGGTGTCAGCGCTGCGTTTGGTCACCTGCCGGGTTTGGGGGGGCTGCGGGAGCCCCCCGAGGTGCGACCCCCACCCCGCGGCCCCGAGCAGGTGCTGCGGGCCCGGAGCCCCCCGCCCCACGCAGGCCGGAACCCACTCCCCCCCCCCCAAGGGGGGGCCCCGGGGGCCCCCCCCCGGCCCCCCGGGGCCCCGGGGGGGGGGGGAAGCCCGAGCAGGTGCTGCGGGCCCGGAGCCCCCTGCCCCACGCAGGCCGGAACCCACCCACCCACCCCCCCCAAGGGGGGCTCGCTGGGGCCCCTCCCGAGCCCCCCGGGGCCGCGGGTCGGGGGGCAAGCGGGGACCCCCTCGCGGCGACCCCCGGGGCGGCCTCTGCCCCGACCTTCACCCCCAGGCCCGGGAGGGGCTGCCCCGACCCCCAGCGCTCGGGGGTCCCGCGGCGGGGCCGGGGGGGTCCGGAGTGCGGCTCGGGGGTCCCAGAGAAGGGCCCGGGGGTCCCGGAGTGCAGCTCGGGGGTCCTGGCACGGAGCTGGGGGGTCCTGGAGTGGAGCTGGGGGGCCCCAGAGAGGGTCTCGGCTCCCGGTGCTGGGCCGGGGGGATACCAGAGAGGGGTCTCTGGTCCCGACACGGGGCTCGGGGGTCCCGGAGTGGTGCTGAGGGGGTCCCAGAGAGGGTCTTGGGTCCCGCACGGGGATCTTTGGTCCCGGAATGGGGCCAGGGGGATCCCAGAGAGGGTCTCGGGGGTCCCGGAGTGGTGCTGAGGGGGTCCCAGAGAGGGTCTTGGGTCCCGCACGGGGATCTTTGGTCCCGGAATGGGGCCAGGGGGATCCCAGAGAGGGTCTCGGGGGTCCCGGAGTGGTGCTGAGGGGGTCTCGGAGAGGGTCTCGGGGGTCCCGGAGCGGTGCTGAGGGGGTCCCAGAGGGTCTCGGCTCCCGGTGCGGGGCCGGGGGGTCCCGCACTGAGTCCCGGCTGTCCCGGAGCGCGGGGCGGGGGTCCCACCGGGTTGGGGGGGGGGTCCCACCGGTGGGGGTCCCAAGGCCAACCCTGACGCCCCCTCTCCCCGCTCGCCCCGCAGCCGACCCGGCGGTGCAGATCGAGGGCAACCCGCACTGCTGCTTCTTCAACTTCAGCCCCAAGGTCATGTTCACCAAGGTGGTGAAGGCGCAGCTCTGGGTGTACCTGCGGCCGGTGCAGCACACCTCCACCGTGTACCTGCAGATCCTGCGCCTCAAGCCCGTCACGGACGAGGGCAGCCGCCACATCCGCATCCGCTCGCTCAAGATCGAGCTCAACTCGCGCGCCGGCCACTGGCAGAGCATCGACTTCAAGCACGTCCTGCAGAACTGGTTCAAGCAGCCCCACAACAACTGGGGCATCGAGATCAACGCCTTCGACCCCAACGGCAACGACCTGGCCGTCACCTCGCTGGGGCCCGGCGCCGAGGGGCTGGTGGGTGGCGCTGCCGGGGGCTCAGGGGGTCCCCAGAGGGGGACGGGGGGGTTGGGGTGTCCCAGAGGGGGGACAGGGGGTTTGGGGTGTCCCCAGAGGGGGGGACAGAGTGTTTGGGGTGTCCCCAGAGGGGCACAGAGGGGCTGTGGGTGGCACTGCCCGGGGGGACAGCGGGTTTGGGGTGTCCCCAGGGGGGCACTGGGTGGGTGGTGGGATGGGGCTGGGGGACAGTGACAGCTCCGTGGGGCTGATGACAGGTCTGGGGGGCAGTGACAGCTCTAAGGGGCTGGTCACAGCTTTGTGGGGACAGTAACAGCTCCATGGGGACAGTGACACTCTCGTGGGGTGGGTGGCAGCTCCACGGGGCTGGTGGCAGTTCTGTGAGGACAGTGCCACCTCAGTAGTGCTCCTGGTGTCACTGACAGCCCCGTGGGGCTGGGGACACCTGCAGGACATGCCACCACCCCCTGGCACAGCGCAGCCGGGCTGGGTGGAGCAGCGTGCGGTGGGGTGGTGTGTCACATTGTCCTCACCATTGTCCCTGTGTCCCCTCACCGCTGTCCCCTCATGGCTGTCCATGTCTCCTCACCACTGTCCCTGTCCCCTCTCGCCTGTCCCCTCACCATTGTCCCCTGCGTCCCCTCACCACTGTGTCCTCATGGCTGTCCCCACTGTCCCGTTGCCGCTGTCCCCTGTGTCCCCGCACGTCCGTCCCTGTCCCTTCATGGCTGTTCCCTCACTGCTGTCCCCTCCCGGCTGTTCCTGTCCCCTCACCCCTGTCCCCTGTGTCCCTTCATTGCTGTCCCTGTCCCCTCTCGGCCGTCCTGTCCCCTCACATCTATCCCCTTCTGGCTGTCCCCCCTGTCCCTTCCCGCTGTCCCTGTCCCCTCCTGGCTGTCCCGCATGTCCCTTCACCCCTGTCCCCCGTGTTTCCTCCCTGCTGTCCCTTGTGTCCCTTCACTGCTGTCCCTGTCCCCGCTGTCCCCTCGCTGTCCCCATCCCCTCGCTGTCCCCATCCCCTCGCTGTCCCCATCCCCTCCCTGTCCCCTCGCTGTCCCCGCGTGCCACCCCGGTACCTCGGTGGTGCCAGGGCAGGTACCAGGGGCAGGGGACAGTGGCCGTGCTGTTGGGGACAGCGTCGCCCCAGCACGCGTACAGGTCGAAGCTGCGGTTGCACACGGGCCCTGGGGGGCACAGATGTCGCCGAGGTGTCACCGAGGTGTCCCCGAGGTGTCCCCAAGGTGTCCCCGAGGTGTGGCCGGGGCGTGGCCGGGGCGTGGCGCTCACCTGGCGGGGGCGGGGCCAGGCGCAGGTGCAGCTCGCAGGCCTGGCGGTAGCGGCGCCCGTGTCCCCCCGCTGTCCCTGTCCCCGCTGTCCCCGTGTCCCCTCGCTGTCCCCTCGCTGTCCCCAGCACCCCTTCATGGAGCTGCGCGTCCTGGAGAACAACAAGCGCTCGCGGCGGAACCTGGGGCTGGACTGCGACGAGCACTCCACGGAGTCGCGCTGCTGCCGCTACCCGCTCACCGTGGACTTCGAGGCGTTCGGCTGGGACTGGATCATCGCCCCCAAGCGCTACAAGGCCAACTACTGCTCGGGCCAGTGCGAGTACATGTTCATGCAGAAGTACCCGCACACGCACCTGGTGCAGCAGGCCAACCCGCGCGGCTCGGCCGGGCCCTGCTGCACGCCCACCAAGATGTCCCCCATCAACATGCTCTACTTCAACGACAAGCAGCAGATCATCTACGGCAAGATCCCCGGCATGGTGGTGGATCGCTGCGGCTGCTCCTAGAGCCGCGCTGCCGCCCCGCGCCCCCTCCGGGCGAGCCCCCGCTGCCCCCCGCGGGCTCCTCTGCATTTTTTCCGCTCTTTTTTTTTTTTTTGCTTTTTTTTTTTTTTTTTTTTTTTTTTTTGGATTTTTTTGTGGTTGGTTCGGGGCGGGGCGGGAAGCGCAAAGTGACAAAGGCCAAGCGTTGAAATCGGTTTGGATGGAGGAGGAGGAGGAGGAGGAAGGCACGGAATAGCGAGCCCGCGATCCCACGCGCATTGTGCAATAAAGCGACCGGACGGAGAAGGGAAGGGGGGGGCCGGGACCCCCACGCCGCGGTGGCGACACGGGGACACCGCGGGGACACGGCCCCGGGTGGCGGCTCCCCCGCGCCAGCCCAGCAGGACGAGGACGAGGAGGAGGAGGAAGAGCGAGCGCACCCCGCGTCTCCCCGAGCTCCTGGAGCAGCGCTGGGGACACCGCTGGTGACACCGCTGGTGACACCCGGGGGGGGTGACCCCGTCCCCGCGGCCGCAGCGAGGTCCGGCCGCGGGACCCCCGGCACCGGGAGGAATCCGCCTCCCTTCTTTAATTTATTTATTTATTAATCGCCCTCCCGGCCGGCGCTCGCCCCGCTCGCTCCCCTCGCAGCCGGGGCCGGCTCCGGAGGGGCCGCTGCAGCCCCGAGACCCCCGGGGACCCCCAGGGACCCCCGGGCGAGGGCGGCTGCAGGGCCCGGAGCCTCCGCCCGGGCTTTGGCTGCAGCCCTGGCACCGGCCCCGGGCTCCGCCGGGGGTGAGGGCGGCCCGGGGGTCACCCGGAGGCGACACCAGAATTGTTGGGAGGCTCCGGCTGGGGCTGAAATTCCGCTTACGCCGCACATTCGCCTCGCGCTGCCCTCGGAGGGTTTTGGTTTTGTTTGTTTTTTTATGATTTTTTTTCTGTTGTTTGTGTTTTGTTTCACGTGAGAACGAACCCCCCGCGTGTCCCGAGGCTCCGCCGCGGCTCCTGCGGTTCCCCCCGGCCCCGAGCGGTGCGGCCGGGGGAGGCTCGGCAGGGGGAGAAGCCCCCGCGGACCCCCAGCACTTATCCCCCGGTGCCGCAGCCGGGGGGCTCCGGGCGGAGCAGCACTTAGGGGGACTCCAGGGCCACCCGGATCTTTAGCACTTGTCGCCGGCTCCGCCGCAGCCCCGCGGGGCCCCGGAGCGCCCCCGGGCCCCTCCTGGCGCCGCAGCACTTAAGGGGCCCCTGGTGCCAGGCTGGTGCCACCGCCCGTGTCACCGCCCCGTGTCACCGCCCTGGTGGCGCCGGCGGGGGCCGAGGCGAGGGGACGGGGATGGGGACAGCCGGGGGGGGCAGGAAGGGGAGGGAGAGCCCCCCGCGCCCCCCAAAAGGGGCACAGCCTGGTCCGGGGGTCAGCAGCCCCTCGTGGCGGCCGCAGCCTCTCGTGGGGGTCAGCAGCCCCCCGAGGTGGTCACCAGTCCCCCGTGGTGGTCACCAGTCCCCCGTGGTGGTCACCAGCCCCCCGTGGTGGTCAGTAGCCCCCCGAGGTGGTCACCAGCCCCCCGAGGTGGTCAGTAGCCCCCCGAGGTGGCCGCGCTCCCCGGGCTCGGGGCTCCCCCGCCCTGCCCGGCCGTGCCCGGGGGGCTCCGGGGACACCCCCGTGCCCAGCGCTGCCCCCACCGGGAGAGGTCCGGAACCGCTGGGAGGAACTGGGAGGGACTGGGAGCGGCCCTGGAGCCCCAAAGCCGCGGTGCCCAAAAAGCCCCGCGAGGCCCCGGGGCTGCCACGGGCCGGGGGCACCGAGGGGCAGGACGGGGAGGGCGGGCACTGGCACCAGTTACCACCGGGCACTGGGACCAGTTACCGCCGGGCACTGGGACCAGTTCGGGACTGGGCACTGGGACCCATCAGCTCTAGGCACAGGGACCAGTCAGAGCTGGAAACTGGGACCAGTTACCCCCGGGCACTGCACCAGTCCCCACAGTGGGCACCACTGGTCCCAGTGCATGGGATTAACTGGTCCCAGTACTGGCACTGACTGGTCCCAGTTCCCAGAGCTAACTGGTCCCAGTGCCCAGCTCAGACTGGTCCCAGCGTCCGGGACTAACTGGTCCCAGTGCCCAGGGTTAACTGGTCCGAGTACCCAGCTCTGCCTGGTCCCAGTGCCAGGGTTAACTGGTCCCAGTGCCCAGCTCTGACTGGTCCCAGTACCAGGGTTAACTGGTCCCAGTGCCCAGGGTTAACTGGTCCGAGTACCCAGCTCTGCCTGGTCCCAGTGCCCAGGATTAACTGGTCCCAGTACCCAGCTCTGACTGGTGCCAGTGCCTGGAACTGGTGGATTCCAGTGCCCAGAACTGACTGGTCCCAGTTCCCGGGGGTAACTGGTCCCAGTGCCAGGGTTAACTGGTCCCAGTGCCCAGCTCTGCCTGGTCCCAGTGCCAGGATTAACTGGTCCCAGAACCCAGATCTGACTGGTCCCAGTGCCCAGCTCTGACTGGTGCCAGTTCCTGGAACTGGTGGATTCCAGTGCCCAGTCCAACTGGTCCCAGTGCCCGGCTCTGACTGGTCCCAGTGCCAGGGTTAACTGGTCCCAATGCCTGGCACTAACTGGTCCCAGTGCCAGGCTCTGACTGGTCCCAGTGCCAGGGTTAACTGGTCCCAGTGCCCAGCTCTGACTGGTCCCAGTGCCCGGGACCGACTGGTGCCACAGGCAGGGGGTGGCGGGGGGTGGCGCCCCCCGAGTATATTATTATTCTAATTATTCTAATTATTCTAATTATTTCCCGCTCTCGGGCTGTGCGTGTCCTAGGTTCCTTTTCTGTTGGTCCGTCCGTTGTTTTTGTCCCTCGTTCTGTCGCTCCGGGGGGACCCGGGGGGGTCCC